TTTCCCAAAATCTCCTCGCCATCTACTCAAAACCTCCATCCTCCCCTTCTGCTAACTTCCCTACTCTTTTTAAACGACAGGTCCATTCTTTCCCTAGGCTTTCTTCTTAACTTGTTTAACTCACTACCCAAATTTTTTTCTTATTATCATTAAAATTTCTGACAGTGGCCTACCCCACTCTATCATCTGCTTCTCCTTTGCACTCTCTCACCACTCTCATCACCTTTCTTTTTACTCTCCATAACTGTATACTTTTCTATAACACTTCTGCTGCTTTGTAAAAACCTACATAAGCAAACTTTTTCCCTTTCATCACACCCTTCATCATTCCACCAATCACTCCTCTTTCTCCGCACCCACCCCCTATAACCCCTAAACTTCTGCCCCACATTCTAATACTGCCATTTTTTAAAACTATTCCAACCCTGTTTCACTCCCCCCCCCTCTCTACTCATACTTTGCACCAGCCTTTCTCCCAATAGTGCTTATATCTCACCCGAACTTCCTCCTCCCTAGTTTAGACGCTTCAACCTCCCTCTTACTTGGTTGTTGCCACTTACCCCTTTTCCCCATCTACCTCTTACTCAAACGTAGTCTACACCTAAAAAATGCTCCGATATGTCAGTTGCCCCCTCAATCACGTGTACATCCGGAGACCTACCCCATCACTTAATCTACCAATACATAATCTAACCCACTAATTTCCATTCCATGCTATATCCTACCTTGAATTTTTATTTATCCTCTACTTCATAAATATGCATTACTTAATTACCAAAAACTCTTTCTTACACATAGCTCAATATAAAGACCCCTCATTTACAATACCCCTGGCACCCCCAAATTTACCTACTACTCCCTCCACAACATATTTGCCCCCTTTAGCATTGAAATCCTCCAACCACATTACTCTCACACTTGTTTTTCAAACTTCCCACAACATACACATCCAACATTTTCCCAAATATCTCTCTCTCCTCTACACTTCTCTCTTCTCCAGAGCATAATGCTTACTAATAACCAACTTTTTCACATCCCAACCTTTATTTTACTTCCACATACTCCTTGAATTAATACATTTAATAGTCCCTCTTTTCCTGCCAAACTTATCCTTCAACATTATTCTGCCTACTTCTTTAGCTCTAACTCTATTTGAAACCCTGTGCGTGTGTTCAGCAGAATTTGTGGTTACAGGAACAGGGTGCATAGGGCATAACAGAGCGATTGGTGAATGGAAGCAGTAAAGAGAGTCGTAAGAGAGAAAAAGAAGTAATAGTGATACAAGGAGGAGGAGTATATGGAAAGATAGAGAGTTAAGAGAGTGGGTGAAGGAATGTAAAGGGAAAGGCAAATGAGTGGTGATATGCAATCAACAAAAAGTTTGGATGAGATTAATGTTGAGAAAGCCTATGGCACAAATAGATATTGACAGATTAAAAAAAGGAGAGGAGAAGTTATTAGATAGAGAGTTAAAAGGTATTGGGAATATTTGATGAACAGTTAAATGTTGATGAAGATAGGGCATGCTGTGATTTGTGCATTGGACTGTGAGGTATAAAATCTGCAGGAGTGATGAAAGAGCCAACTTCTAAGTGTGGAGGTGTGAGAGACAGTGGGTAAATGAAAGGGGGTAAAGCCGCTTGGGTTGGCTGGCATCAAGACAGAAATGTTAAAGGTCAATGTGGGGACGGAGTTTGGAGTGGTCAGTGCTTGTATTTAATTAACTGTATGGAAGAGGGTAAGGTACCCTCGGGATGGCCGCGAGCATGCATATTTCTATTGTCTACAGGCCAAGGGGAAAAAAAGAGAGTGTAAAATTTATAAGGCTGTAAGCCTGGTTGCGTACATGTGGTAAAGTGTATAGTAATTAATTGAAAAAATTCCGAGTAAGATGAGATCTTTCGGGAAAGGTTAGGGAGTGGTGTAGACCAAATGTTTACAGTGGAAACATATAGGTGAACAGAAAAGATAAGGTATAGAAGTTTTTGTAAGCATTTATGGATTTTGAAAAGGTGTATGTTAGATAGGGTAGATAAGGGGCAATGTGGCAGATGTTGCTAATGTAAGGAATAGGAGGTAGGTTACTGAAAACAGTTAAGAGTTTTACTAGGATAGCGAGGCTCAAGTTAGAATATGTAGAAGAGAGGGCGATTCTTTCCCCTCAAAAAGTAGGCCTTATACAGGGATGTGTGATGTCACTATAGATGTTCAATATATTTATAGATGGGGTTGTAAGAGAAGTGAATGCTCAGGTGTTGGCAAGTGGTGTGGGATTAAATGATAAAGAATCTAACACAAAGTGGGAGTTGGCACTCTTGCTTTTTGCTGATGACACTTTGCTTTCGGGAGATTCTGAACAGAAGTTAGAGCGGTTGTTGGACGAGTTTGGTAAGGTATGTAAAAGAAGAAAATTAAAAGTGAGCATAGGAAAGACTAAGGTAATGAGGATAACAAAAAATTTAGGCAATGAAAGACTGGATATCAGAATGGAGGGAGGGGGGATTATGGAGGAAGTGAATGTATTCAGATAGTATTTGGGAGTGGACTTTTTAGCAGATGGGTCTTTGAAAGACGAGGTGAATCATAGAATTGATGACCGGGAAAAAGGTGAGTGGTGCACTGAGGAGTCTGTGGAGACAAAGAGCGTTGTCCATGGAAGCAAAGAGGGGAATGTGTGAGAGTATAGTTATACCAATGCTCTTATATGGGTGTGAAGCATGGGTGGTGAATGTTGCTTGGACTTACAGCAAGCATGCATGAGAGTGTTAGATTGGGGTGAGTGGGGACAAGTGTTTTTTTTTTTTTTGGGGGGGGGGGGGGGACTTTGTGCTGTTGGAGTGTGAGCAAAGTAACATTTATAAAGGGATTTGGGGAAAGTGGCAAGCCGAACTTGAGTCCTGGAGGTGGGACATAGTGCCTGTGCTCTCAAGGAGGGATTATTGATATTGCAGTTTTTTAACTGTAGTGTAGGCACACCTCTAGCAAGACAGTTATGGAGCAAATGGTGATGAAAGTGTTTCTTCTTTTTTGGACCACCCTGCCTTGGTGGGAAATAGCCGATGTGTTATTAAAAAATAAAAAAATAAATACAAGTTCAGGTTTCTCTTGCTTTATGCTGTTTGACTTGGCTATGTGCAGTGACCCTATATCTACTAGTAATATTCTATATGGTACATAAATTAACGCTTGTGCAATCACCCAACCCCATCACCATTTGACTTTTTAACGTCTCTTTAAATGTCACTACTAAAGGGATAATATTAACATTAATATGAAAGACTTACTATGGGAAATGCAGTGAGCCCATATTTAATAAAATTTCATGGTTGGTTTTCAATTTAAGATTCTTGTGCCAAATAAAAAAAAAAAAAATAGACGCCCAGCTACACAAACCCAAGCCTGGCATTGTTTGATTTTTTAACACTATCTCTTTGAATGAGAGTGTAAAAAAAAGTGAATGCTAGGGTGATAGGAAAAGGTGTGAGGTTAAAATATGCAGAATCTAATTCAAAATGGGTGTTGTCAGTTACTTTTTTCTGATGATACTGTGCTTTCGGGAGATTCTGAAGAGAAGTTGTAAAGGTTGGTGGATGAATTTGGGAGAGTATGTAAAAGAATGAAATTAAAATTGAACATAGGAAAGAGCAAGGCAATGAGGGTAACAGTGATTAGAAAGAGGGAGTATGGAGGAAGTGGATGTGTTCGGGTATTCAGGAGTAGACTTATTGGTGGAGGGAAATCTATAAATGATAAGGAGAACCATAAAAACTGATGAGGGAAAAAAGGGTGGGTGGTGCATTGAGGAAATCTGTGGATGCAAAGAACATCATCCATGGAAGCAAAGAAGGGAATGTATGACAGTACGTATAGTGATACCAACACATTTTCGTGGGCGTGAAGCAGGGTTGTGAATGTTGCAATGAGGAGGAGGTTGGAGGCAGTGGAGATTTCATGTCTGAGGGAAAACTTATGGTGTATGTATAATGCAGAGAATTCATAGTTTGGAGATTAGGAGGAGATGCTGAGTTACTAAAAGTATTATCCGAGGGCTGGGGGGGGGGCTAAATTTAGGTAGTTTGGTTTTGAGAGGAATGGAGCAAAATAGGATGGGTTGGAGGGTTTTTAAATCTGTAGTGGAAGGAAGGAGGGGGTAGGTGGGTTTTCCTAAGAAAGGATGGAAGGAGGGGGTTTAAGGAGGTTTTGTGCACAAGGGGCCTGGACTACGGCAGGCATGTGTGAGCGTGTTAGATAGGAGTGGAAACAGTGGTTTTGGGACCTGACGAACTGTTGGATTGTGAGCAGGGTAATATTTTATGAAGGAATTCAGGGAAGCGGGTTAGCAGGACTTGAGTCCTGGAGATGGGAAGTACAATGCCTGCACTTTAAAGAAGGGGTTTGGGATATTTGCTGTGTGGAGGGACATCTGAACTGCCATATCTACGCACCTATGGCAAGACAGTTATAGTGTCACATTGCCTTGATGGGAGACGGCCAGCATGTCAAAAAAAAAAAAAAAAGCGTGGAACCCCGAGTTTCGGCCATAGTTTGTTCCAGAAGGCTGTTTGACTGCCGTTACCGAATGAATTTGTTCCCATAAGGAATAATGTAAATTAGATTAGTCCATTTCAGACCCCCAAATATACACTTACAAAAGCACTTATAATAATAAACTTACATAATTGTTCGAGTTGGGAGGTTGCCGAAACTCGGGGTACCACTGTATATGTAAATTACAGATAATGTTTAAATGTATGTTTGTCAAATTTTAATTTCTTTAAATGTACTCTTGTCTTCATTTATATCAAAATTTTTATTTGAAGCGAAAAGCTTGGGGCATTAATGTTTTTAAAATACCAGTGTTTGACTCTGCATTCTTGATAAGAACTCAACTTATGAGATGGGTACAATCCAAGGATATGTATTTTAAAATTCTTTATTGAGCTTTTGGGTTCATTAAAAAAAATGCATTGTAAATTCTTTATTTTTTACTTTACAAACAGAGGGATACTTCAGTACAGATGGAAACCTGTGCTACTGCGAAACCTGCCACAAAATACGGGGTGATGAACCGTACTATACAAAAGGTAATATGTTTTTCATGTGCTTTTCTACAAATATGTTTAAGAGAAATCACCATTCATCCTCTGTCTTATTTTACTTAAAATATAAATACCTATATTGATACTAGTGTTTATTTAGCTGTACACTTTCCAGTAATGCTTAACTGTTAATTGTCTTTTATCTGTCTCCTCTTTCTCAAGGAATTGATTTATGCATAATAAAACCTTTTATCTTTTTTTTTGCAATTTTAGTTTGAACTGAATTAAATTTGGGCAATCACATTTTTGATATATTGTATTTATTCACAATCTTCTTAAAACTGTTTTCTTGTTAAAAAAGTTTTGTTTCATTATTGCTCATTACTTTGGTACAGTATTTTAAAGTTGTAAATAAACCAGCATTAAAAATATCAACCATTTTGAAAAACAAAAATCAAATATTGTCACTCTTTTCTAAAGTGGGGACTTGAATTTTCCGGGAGGGGGAAAAGTACAGTGCCTGTTCTCTGAAGGAGAGGTGGGGAAAATGTTGGGGTTTGGAGGTCATTTAAACTGAAAGGGTCAGTGGGCCCTGGCAAGACAGTGATTAAATGAGTGAAAGTGAAAGTGTTTTTTTCTTGTTCCCTTTCATCTTCCCTTTTGTGGAAGACGGGGGCCCCGAGTGTTTTAAAAAGAAAAAATTAAAGTCCCTTTCATCCACTATTTGCATAAATGGGAGGGGTTGGACGGGCAGCAGGCATTTTGGGGCAGGGTTTAAATGAAAAGTGAAGGGAGTTGGGGGGTTGGGCTTTTGGGCCCTGACGAGCGTAGGAAGTGGCAGGGTAATATTTTGTGGAGGGTTTCAGGGAAACTGGTTAGCCGGACTTGGGGTCCTGGAGGGGGGGAAGTAAAATCCCTGCATTTTTAAACCCCCTTTAAAGGGTCGACGGGGCCTCTCCGAAACTCGTTCTCGGGGGTCAGCCAAATTTAAAAAAAAAAAAATTATTTTCTTTATAAAAATGATAGAAAAATTTTTTTCCCGATCATAAAGACACCAAAAGTTTGAATTTGATAAAAAAAAAATTTTACAGAATTATGTGTTTTTGCTGTTCTTATGCTGAACGCGGTTTTATTTGCCGTTTGAAGGTAGCTTTGGGTTTAGCAAGGGAATAGGGCCCGTGGATAGTTTGGTTTTAAATTTGGGTAGGAGGATTTACAAAAACGGGCAGTGTGAGGGGTGCCCCGCAAGCCAGTCCGGGGGGAAAAAAGAGCATTGTTTTTATGCCCAAGTCGGTGGGCCTCGGGTGAGGAGGGTGGGCTGTGTTTTCCCCACGGGGCCTACAGAGGGCAGAAACGAATGCCGCAAAAATATGAACTAGTCAGGGGCAAAACGGCTAGGCTGGGTGCTCTGACGAAGGCTTTTTTACATTTGCTCGGCCACGCCCCTCGCGTCGTCCCGAGCGACAATACTGGGGGCCCCCTTAGGTTAAAGGGAATTTTACACTAGCTACCCCAGGGAGGGACTGGCTTTCGTAACTAGTAAATCAAAAATGGAAAAAAAAACGCAACAGGAAAAAAAAAAAAAAAAACTCTCCCTCCGGGGGGAAGAGAAAACTGGTTTGCCCGGTTTGTTTCATCGATAGGGGCCCCGGAAAGGAGTCAGCACGGGAAAACTAAAATCTTCTTATACGGGTTTTTGCCCGCAGGGCTGAACATCATTTGGGCCACTGTTTTCGAACTTTTGTTGCACGCTCCCCATCTGAAAACAATAAAACTGAATTTAGCATTTTTTAAGGTGGGGATTGTGACTCAGAGGGCAGCACTGCCTGCCCGTTAATTTACAGGCTTTTTTCCTTTTTTAGTTATAAAAATTGGTGACAAAACGTACAATAATACTATATCCATGGAATTCATTACACTCTGGGTCCCCTTCTAAAGTTTTACTAATTACTTTATGTTGTCCACCCTGACTCTTTTATCGACTAGCTATACAATGGGGGTGTGCTTTTTAAACCAAAATTTCTGCAAGCAAACAATTGATAACTGGGTAGGGGGTTCGGGACAAGTCAGTAGGTCCCGTCAATGTCACAGAAATTTTACTGTTGTCCTGGGTCGCAGGCCATAAGTATGGACCCTTTTACGGGGGCCGTTTTCCCGTACCTATAGCAGTGGGAAAAAGGGATAGAGGGTTTGCCCCCAAACTTTTAAGCTGATGGTGGGCGTTGCAACGCGGGGGGCCCCCACCCTCTGTTTAGGCCCCCATTTGGTAAAACTTCTTTTTTTGTGATAAAGGGTGGGTTTCCTTGATATTCCCGAAAGCACCCCCTCACCTCAAAATTTTTCCCACGGAGCTGTCGTAGGAAACGGTAAGGCCCCAAAAATTTTGGGGGACAAGTTTGTGCTTTCCCTGGGGTCTCCCACTGGGTTGAGCAAAAAAATTTGAAAACCGGGTTTCCCACTTTGTTTTCCCCTTGGGGGGGGGGGGGGGGAAATTTTTTGGCCCCTCAGAAGTAAACCTTCAGTGGGTTTCAAAAGGGTTCTCCGTACCCGTTTGGAAGACAAGCGCGTTGTCCTCATTTTTTACTACATGGGGTTATCATTTATGTAAGTGGGTCTAGGTGGAGTAAACAAAAATTTATGGAAAGCGCTTGTCTTTGCCTTACAAAGCAAAATGAGGTGCCCCTTTCACCGTTTCGAGCTGTTGAGGGGGGAAAAATTTTATGTACACTAAAACATCGGGGATAGCCTCACCCCCATGTAGTAAATTTGGGGAAACGGTTACTTGAGCACCTCCAGGACTTTGGATTTTTACGTTCAGAAAGGGACCATTACTCCCCGGGTGGGGGGGTGGAGCTACTGGCGCTTGAGGGTTGTTGAATCTGGAGCAAAGATCCTGCATTATGCCATTTATAAACTGGGAACCCATTGTCTGACAAAAAGGACACGTGGGGAAAATATGACGAAAAAAAAACATGCTACGGAAACCCACTACGACGTTTCAGGGGGTTTTATCAGGAAGGGGTTTACTAATTCACTTTTAACCGGGTCAAGTTATCTACCATTACAAGCGGGGTGCTTTTTTCCCCTTTTCCCCGGGAGGTCGAGAATTTCGTCAAACAGGTCGCCCGGAATTCTTCCCAGGGCCCCTTTTGGGAAAGGGGATACTTTAGAATGGGGTTAGGACTGTAATGGTCCCTTGTGCTGTAGGCAAACCCCACATGGTGTACATGCTTGGCAATGTCCCCCTGCCTTTCTTAGGCCAGAAATATTTCTTTCGTCCCTGTTTGATACTGGGGGCCCTTCCCCGGGGGTCCCGCTACCCCTTGGGAAATTGTGGAAAACCCAAGAGTAAGCTGGTATCATGGATTGGAAACCCCAGTTGGTTTTACGGTTTGAGGGGGCCACCAGCTGGCAACAGGGCACAGTCCCTCCTTGGTTGCCCACCAAATCCTTCGTGGAACGGGAGATTTGGGACCTGTAAGTCAAGGGGCCTCCTTGGGCCCGGGAAAACGAAGGACTGGAGCCCCAACAGGGTCCTGTCGTTGGGCTCTCTCGAGTTTCCTAAAAGGAACGAATTGCGACATCATGAATCCCTATATGCCTCGAAAGGGCATCAGTAAAACATTTTGCTTACCGGGGACATAGCAAATTTCAGGGTTTTTGCCCATTAAAACGGAGTACCACCGAGCATTTTTTTCCGAGAGGTTTCCCTTTTTCCCAAAAAAAGGGGCCTTTTTAAGGGGGAGATGATCTGTGAAAATCTTGTTAGGATAATGATAGTGATACCCCAAAAAAATTGACTCAGGGCCCATAAATGGCAAAACTTCTAGCTCTGTCATGAAAAAATTGACTTCTGCTTTGTAAAAAACAGGGGTGCATAGGCAATAGGTGTTGTTTCCATTGTTTTCCTGTGACAAGACTGCCCCCAAATTGCCAACTTTGCTGGCATCAGTCTAAGGTAAATCCCCTTGGTAAAATTTCAGGGAATCAAAGGGGGTTGGGGGGGTTTAAATTAAAAAAAAAATTGGGGTTTTAAATTGAAATGACAAAAGCTCGTTCCTAAACACAGCCCCACTCAAAAGGGGCTCCTTCTTAGTAAGCTTTGTGGGGGTGCAGCAATGGTGGAAAAAACCTGCGTTTAAAGGTTGGGGGTTTTAAAAACCCGCCAGGCCTATGAAGGACCAGACTGGACCCGCCGTCATGGGTCTGGGGAATTTCTGCACGGCCGAGATTTTAGACTGTCCGTCTTTATGCCATTCTGGCCCTTTTGGGTGACCCAAAAAAATTTTATTTTTTCCCGGGGGGAAATGAATTTGGAGAGTTTTCCCTTAAAGATTTGCCCTGAGCTAGCCGTCCAATACCTGTCAAGTTTCTCAAGATGTGACTGGCCATCTTGCGCCATGACTATGAGATCACCCGGGTTTAGACCATGGGGCGTCCCCCAACCTAGGAGGGAAACGGGAAATTGTGTCATAAAACGCCCCCTTAAACGTAAATTGGGCTTGGGGCAAGCCAAAAGGGCATCCCCCGAACTGGTAATGCCCCCAAAGGGTTGGCGTAGAAAAAGCGGTCACTCTCTGCTCTCATAATCGGGGGGGGATCTGCCAGAACCCTTGAAGAAAAATCAAGAGTTGAAAAGCCTTATTATGGGCCGTTTGTTCCCCAACAGGTCGTTCAGAACTGGCAATGGAAAGCGGGTGGGGGGAAGGGACATGCATTCATTTTTCCCTGTAATCGTTAACAGGGCCCCGGGTTTCCCCTTCTTTTTTGGGAACCGGGAAAAAGGGGGCATTCCAGGGGAAGGGGGACTCCTCAATAACTCCATCAGGAGCATCCGTGAAAGGGTTTTTCTTGGGCCCGGAAGACTCTTTGCGCATGTGGCAGGCGATACGCGGGTACTAAAGGGGTTTTAGTACCTTTGTAAAGTGGTTTAACGGTGAGGATCAGGGGGGTAAAACCCCTTTAAATCACCTTTCTAGGCAACTGCAGAAGGGCACAATTGAAAAACTGGAGAATTTTTGGGCCCCTCTTAGGATAGTCTGTAA